CTGTGCTGTTTGTGCTGTTTTTACTCTGTAGTTGAAGCAGCAGCTAGAGTTTTGCTTTGGCTGTTCTTTTTTTTGAGCTATTTCTAGTTTCACACTCTTTCTGTGCTGTTTTTACTCTGTAGTTGAAGCAGCAGCTAGAGTTTTGCTTTGGCTGTTCTTTTTAGTTATTATTTTGAGCTATGAGTGATATTTAAAAATATTTAATGTTATATTTTATTATATTAATAACAGTAAATGTTACAATTACTATATTCCTACAATTACTATATTCCTTTCAGTCTTAAAGTTAAATGTAATCTGTACCATTCAACAGACTACCGTTGAAAGGTTTGGGGTCAGTAAGATGTTTTTGAAGATATTTCCGTGATGGTAAAGCTGAATTTTCTGAAATCATTATAATATGCTGATTTGGTGCTCAAGAAATATTTCTTATCATTAGCAACAGTTGTGCTGATTAATATTGTTGTTGAAACCATGATGATATATTTTTTTAGTATTCTCTGAGAAATAGAAAGTTCAAAAGAACAGCATTTATTTGAAACAGAAATCTTTTTTATTATTATAAATGTTTTTACTGTCACTTTTGATCAATTTAATGCATCCTTGCTGAATTTCTTTACTGACCCCAAATTCCTAAATCCATAGATTAATTATTTTAGAATCCACCTCTGACTGTTCACACTAAAGTCACACTGCAAGAAAATGTCAAATTTATTATGATATTTGCTGTTCACATTGTCTAAAAACATATCTGTGTCACTGTGAGGGGAAAATATTCAACAGCAATGTATTCCTGAATATACGATTCATGTTAAATGTCCGATTCTCCTCACACAGATGTTCTAACTGTGGCCGGTGGAGAGCTCCAGGAGCTAAACTCTAAGTGTAACTTCTTCCCTGACCCATCAACATTCAGCAGTGAGGACATGTCACAAGATTTTGGTATCCCTCGTACCTCCAGCATTGCCAAATCCAAACGTCCTTCAGTCTCTTTTGCAGAGGGCACGAAGTTCAGTCCTAAAGAGCGCCATAGCTCCACTCAAGATCTGCCAGAAACTAGTCGGAAACCCAAGGCCTGGGGTGTGCTGATGATCTCTGCCCTGCAAGGAGGACAGGGAAACCACAGTGAAACAGAAACAGAAAAAGAAGAGAAAACCAACGAGGAGACCATCTCCTTTGAGGAGCAAGCAGCTGCATCTGAAACATCACAAACTGACTTGGAAAGATATAATTCTGGCCCGCTAAGGACTCACCTCACTGTGCCCAGTGGGAGACGACGTACACTTTCCAATACCAGGAAAAATGCCCAGCCATCTGATAGTGGCCAGGATGCAGATTCAGACAGGTTAACAACTGTATATGTGACTGTGGGTAAGACCCAAAAGATGGCCAAGCAAGAACCCCCCTCAAAAGGGCCCGTTCAGGCGATGCTGCGCAGACTGGGTAGCTTACAGAGACAAAGAGAAGAGGCCGCCCAGCCCAAAGGAAGGGGGCAGGCAATCGCCAAGCCACCACGGAGGAAACTGGGAGCGCGGGCTAGTGCATGGGAGCAAGCTACTGGGTCAAACCAATCAGAGGTGGTCATGAGGAAACCTAGTCGCAGGAAACACAACTCCCTCAGCTCTCCCTGCACAGTGGGGGCAACAGACTTTCCTCAGGAGAACAGCACCCCCAAGAGACCATTGTCCTCCATTTTAAAAAGTGTTCCAGAAAGCAATACACTCCATAGTTTGGAGGTGGAGCAAGACACTGAAGTAGTCTGTGAGACAGACAGTCTGACAGAGCACACGTATGAGACTGTTTATGTAAAGATTTCATAATATTCCTGAATCTTAAAGTTAATGATTTAAAGGGCAATAAAAAAAAGGTTTTTAAGTACTGTATGCAAGTTTTGCATAAACATATCTACGTATAAAATGTAGTTTGTTTGTATATTCCCTATTATAATTTCAATTAAAACATTACTTCTTAGTTTAAAGAAATTAGCTTATTTTTAAATACACTTTTTAAAAGTATTTTATCAAGATGTTGCCCTCATAACCCCTTGAGTAACTGTATCTACCTATACTGACATTCAAAAGTTTGGGGTCAGTACGATTTTTTCTTTTTTCTTTTTTAATTAATACTTTTATTCAACAAGGACTAATTTAAGCATAAGTAACAGTAAACTTTTACATTGCTAAAAAAAATCTATTTTTTTTTTAATAAATGCTGTTCTTTTTAACTTTTTTTGATCAAGAATCCTGAAAAAATATATCAAGGTTTCCACAAAAATATCAAACAGTACAACTGTCTTCAACATTGATAGTGATAAGAAATATTTCTTGAGCAGCAAATCAGCATATTATAATGATTTCTGAAGGATCATGTGACACTGAAGACTGAAGTAACAGCTGCTGAAAATAAAGCTTTGCATCACAGGCATAAATCACATTTTAAAATACATTCAATTAGAAAAAAAGGTTATTTTAAATTGTAATATTTCACTGTTTTTACTTTATTTTGATTAAATAAATGCAACCTTAGTGAGACTAAGAGACATCTTTTAAGAACATTAAACGTTCTTAAGTCTTAAATGTTACTATGAACAGTAGTGTAGATCAATCCTGATCCAAGATATGAACCCTGCAGCAATTATGCATGAAATAACTTCCACAACAATTCAGAAAGTAGAATTGTGTCGAAGTAACCTGACAGATACTTCCTGGTTCTTTTCTCTTAGGGCTGTATAAGTTTCTGTGTAATTGCATGTCTTGGTTTTTGGCATCTTTTCTCTGCACGATAAATAAGGATTAGACTTTACATGCATCACTAAAGCGAAGTTGTTCTTGACAGCATGACACTGATTACTTGTAATATGGGGTGATGTAGATAAATTCAATTGCCCGATATTGGCAGTAAGCGCAGTGTTTTCTTTGGAAAGAGCAAGAAACCACAATAAATGGATGAACTGTGCCAAAACACTAAATGTAAATGTAAATGGTATTGGCAGCAAAAATGAAAAAGAAACACCATTTTACTGTGATGAAAAAGCTAAAACAGAAAGAGATTTATGTTAATATCTTTCAAAGGTATAACCTAATAAAATGATGTATGCATTACCAAAAAAAAAGAGTTTTACAACAAAAAAACATTGCTGTTTATTCAAGGATTACAAAACCCCCACTAAAACTATTGCAAAGCTCATAGGAACTTTAGGCTTCTGTAAGCATCAGTACAAAATGTTATTACTCTCATGCTATTGCTTGAATTCTCAATGAAAATCAGAGTATAATTCTCATATGATAATGATAATATTCATATGTCTGTTTATTTGAGATGTTTGAGACCAAAAATTGCATGGTGTCCACTGAGCATAATTATTCAACACAACAGTTAGGAATATAGAGTAGATTAGTCTCCAGGGGAGGATGACTTGTAGAACATTATGAATGTCATTCTATTTGTATTAAAATCGGTGGAGAGATTCTAAAAGGGCCTTCTGATGACCCTTCTCTTTGATCATACAAATGCAGCTTATTTTTCTTGTATGATAAATACTATTAAATGTCTTTTACAGTTGGACTCATCTCTTTTCTGCTCCTGGCTTATCTTTGCAGCCAAGCCAGTATTTTCCAATAGGTCTTGGATATGGAGGGTTTGCATAGTCAACCCGCTTTGTTTGGAGATTCACTCTGTAGTACATATCTGTAAAGACAAAAGTTTACATCTGAATAATATAATATAATCATGTCGATTTCAGTTCCTCCTTTGAATAATAAAATTTCTGTCATGACAACTCCCGGAGACTCATGCAATGTTAATGTGTTTGGTCTTGGTGGAATAGATCTGCTGAGCTGCTGCTGCTGCTGCAGCAGAGCAAGTACTGAGACTTGCTATTGCCAATACATTCACAGACATGTAAGAAATACTGCTGCTGCACATATAACATATATGAAATAACCCCCATTTATGACATACATGAAATCACCCCGTAGCAGATCTATACAGGTGGAGCTGGGGAAGGTGGAGGGTTCTGAAGCATGCTGCAACTGGCAGCCGAGTATATGAATGTTGAGCAGCAAGCTCATTGGCTGCTGATAAGAAGTGAAACCAATCAGCTGTGCCATATGAATAATGATGTCATTATGTCAGAATGAGTTTGAACCTATCGGCCTGCGCCATCTAGAGTTTCATGACAGAACTTTGGAAATAATATTAGATAATCAAGTCGATTTTTAGTTCCTCCTTTGAAAAATATAATCATAATATAATATTATAATATAATAACCAGGGGTTCACATAAGCGGTACGCAGGTCCGCATGCGTGACCAAAATAAGAAATGCGCCGTGCAAATTAGTTCAGAGCGCACGTTTGCGTACCGACATGGATGACAGCTGTTAATGCACAATTACCATTTTAGACAAACTGTACTGTATACGATTTCTATTCAAACTGAAAGCATAAATATAGGCTAAAAGTGAAAGCATAAATCTAGGCTACCCGCTAACGTTTTCAAAGCACAATGCAAAACTGTGACATTTCATTCAGTTGACGCTCTACAATCGGCAGCGCTAAATCCGGAAGCGCATATACTTACTTCCCGCCAAAATAAAAGCTTGCTGATTTTAAGTTTGAAAATGAAAAATTAAAATAATTCAAATTAAAATAATAATAATAAAAATAATACAAATATTAGCATTTTAGTTTTACGTTTACTATAAAACGATTGTATTTGTATTTAATACTCCCTTTTTATTTTAAAATAAAATAGTATTATCACACATTATTATTTAGTTTATTATTTTATTAAAAAAAAAAAAAGAAATAAAGTGCAATAATATTATCACTATTATTAATTAATTTTTTATAGCTATATTTGATGGGTCACACCATGTGCCGTGTGAGGACCAAACCAAATCTCCAGGTTCTCATATGAGAACCAGGCTGAAAAACTTATGTGCACCCCTGATAATAATTATAATAATATAATAATAAAATCATGTCATATCAGTACCTCCTTTGAAGAAGTAGACACTCTGTAAAGGCTGCCTCCTGCGCAGTATGTCATAGGCGATGTCTTCAGAAGGTCTGTATCTGTAGTCATAATCATAGTCATTTTGTCTATGATAATAGTCTCCGTGTCTGTCCTGCCCAAACCTCTGAGCAAACTCTTGTCCAATGCTGATGCCCCTCTCAGCCATAGTCTCCCAATATGGAGACCTATTCTGCCTGCGCCTGGAGCCCCACTGCTGGTCCCACTGCTGCCCATAACGTTGGTCCCACTGCTGCCCATAACGCTGGTCCCACTGCTGTCCATGCCGCTGGCCCCACTGCTGGTCCC